TTCATGCTTTTACGATGCCATTCAACAACTGAAATTTCGCGAAAAGTGATATACGGCCCTTTTTCCCGTCTGACTGGGCAACGAAAGGTTGACACTGCTTTCTTCGATGCCATTGTCCTACTTCAGAACCGCAGTGTATTTGAACTTTTTGCCCATACCTGACTTTCAGTGAGCAGTGAGCAAGTCAGCATTTTTATCCTGCCAGACACGTTTCAGTAAACTGAACCTGGAAGAATGAAAGGAATGGCATAGGAAAAATTAGGGTTCGGGATTTGAATCTGCGGCTACATCACGAGGAGGAGATGGCAGAATACACTCACCATTTAAGGGAATACTCCACGAAAAGCAAGGAGATTGTTTGAATACAACACATTTTACAACGATTCATTGAAAACGGTATGTTGCTGGAAAATATTGCGTGATCTTCTCAAGATATTAGTAGGGTTGATGGAACTCTTCACAATAATGGACTGTCAGAGGACTTGCGGTAAACCAATTGTATGTTAGGAACTTCAATATTTTCCCGATCGTCGCCACCACTAAAGGTAGAGTCTGTGGAATCGAGTTCCGTCCAGCATCCATTGCTCGAAATAGGACTTGGTCGAACATTGGTACTTGGCTTGCATGTGAAATCACGTCCTAGATTTGCACATTGATAGGTCGTTGCAAAGACTACGGTTGTTACGGGAGCCAAATACGTCTGCTGACCATAGCAGGATTCAAGTGGAAGGCCAATGGATGAAGTAAGTTAGAGGAACCAATTATTTTTATGGGCAAAAGTGTAACAGATAAGAAGAGCAGTGCTGCTATTGGAAGCAAAGCAATGAGCAAGTTGTGTTTCCACTCTCCCAGGTGAAAAAAAAATAAAAATTTAGGGCGAATGAGGTAGCATTCAGTCGATTGCTGGAGATAGAATTTTCAAATAGTCTAAGTGGGGTTTGATCAAAAATTAGTTGCCCTTGCAACACCCCACTTACCAGTGCCCCAACCGCGGATCGTTCCTTAGTGATGGAGTAACTTCATTTAGAACTTCTTCTATTGGTCTTACTGTCGTTTGAGCTCATTTCGCGGCCTACCTTATACTGTTGGGGCTTACCTTATACTTATGTATACTATACTGTTGGGGCGTTTCCACAGTCATGGACATATGTAGTTTAGTTTAAGAAATACCATGGGGGCGGAAGTGGTGTAGTGGCAAGTGGCACGCTTACCACGCGAGCGGTCCGGGGATCAAATCCTGGGTCGTGAGTCGCCCGGGCCAACCAAGCCTTCCATCCCTCCGGGGTCGGTTAATTGGTACCAGACTTGTCTGGGAGGATAAAAACACTGACTTGTACATCGGCTGGCCCCCGCAAGTCATTGTATAGGCCACATCGCATTCAAACGCCACTACGAATGTACAAATGGAAGTAGAATGCGTGCCGCATCCCAAAAAGGGATTGATCAACGGCAAATGCTTTATCCTTTATCCTTTATAGTAAAGATCTATGGAGGGAGATTTGTTTTATACTTAATTTTATGGACGTTTGAGAGTGTAATCGATTTTTCTCATCGTTGCACTCATTCAACATGCATCGTGTTCGCTCTCGTAGCCAAGGTGATATTCAGCTATTCTTTGCGACATTCAACACTTGCACAATCCTTTGCCGTCACACCGGCGCAACCCCCAATTTTACGCATACGAAATTCTGCGCTATGCAGATTGACCTTGTTTCGAACACTTCTGCCTATCTATCTACTATTATATTTCTTTATCTATTTATCTTTTCCTGAATCACTTTATTCTGCATAAACGCGGTTCCAAACTATTTTTTCTTCACCTACTTTTGTAAATCACCATCCCTGTGATAACATTTGCATAGCGCAGGTTCCAAAAGGCATATTTCGAGCCGCTCACCTTCTTGATCCCTTGCCGATGTCGCCTACCCATGAGGGGCAAACCGCTTATATGACTGAGCGC